GTAAGGAAATACCTGGTCCTTCACAGAGGTACTTAGGAGACAATGAGGTTAAGAATAAAGAACTATTAAACCTCAGCAGATCAGTGCAGGTGGTTGTTTTGTAAATGACAAAGATGGCTCTCTGTTTCCTTGTAGCAAATGTTCTCTTCTAAGGGTTAGGGAGCAAAGAAACATTTAGAGAAAAAGGCAGAAACACAGACTTGATTACATGTAGATTGGTGGCAAATTTTATAGGTAACATAAATTGGGAAGGTGAGGAGAAAGAGAAATGAGGGAATCTGTCTTTCACCCTGTTCAGAGCTGACAGTTCTAAAAAATTCAGATAACACAAAACCAGCACTTCTAACTGTAACAAAAAAAACCACCTTGATAAGCTAGTAAAATGCCAAACATTCTTGAAGTAGCTTTTCAGTTGATAAAAATTTCCACTTAAGGAAGAACCTTTTAACTTTAAAGCAATCCTGGGAAGAAAAGGAAAAAGTTAATAATAGGTAACCACATAAAGTGAAGTATTTCTGAAGATTAAATTGAATTATTCTTCTCTGGGGAATACATTTTCTGAAATTAGACATTATTTTGTACATATAATAACTTAACTGACTAATAAATTAACATTTCTTTCCTGGGATTTGATCTGTGTTATAATCATGTGTGATGTATAATCAATTTGTGACAGAAATAGACAAAGCTTTAATATATAAAATGCCTTTTGTTGTTCTCACTTACTTGCTGGTTTCAGAAGGTCTGCTAGTTTTCAGGTTTTATGATGATGCCATTTCTTTTCCCAGTAGAAGTTAACCAGGGTTACTGTTAGTAATGTGTGTGTTTTTTGCACTGAGTTTCCTAGTGGGCTAAATTTAAATAAACCCTGTAGAATAGAGATTATTTCATAGAATCATAGAATGGTTAAGGTTGAAAGACTTAAAAGATCATCAGGTTCCAAATTCCCAGCTATGAGCAGGGACACCTCACACTAGACCAGGCTGCACAAAGCCTCATCCAACCTGGCCTTAAACATCTCCAGGGAAGGGGGCTTCCACAACCTCCCTGAGCAGCCTATTCCGGCACCTTACTACCCTCATGGTGAAGAATTTCTTCCTGTTGTCTAACCTAAATCTCCCCTCATTCAGTTTAAAACCATTACCCCTTGTCTTACCACTGCTCCGTCTGGTGAAAAGCCCCTCCCCAGCCTTCCTGCAGGCCCCTTCAGGTACTTGTAGGCTGCTGTAACTCTCCCCAGAGCCTTCTCTTCTCCAGGCTGAAAAGCCCCAACTCCTCAGCAGAGGTGCTCCATCCAGCCCTTTGATCTTCAGCTTTGTGGCCCTTCTCTGGACCCTCTCCAACAACTCCATGTCTTTCCTGTGCTGAGGGCACCAGAACTGTACATAGTATTCCAGGTGAGGTCTCACCAGTGCAGAGCAAGAGGGGCAGAATCACCTCCCTGGCCCTGCTGGCCACACTTCCTTTTGATGCAGCTCAGGATGCAGTGGCATCGGGCTTGATCTCCTTTTTTCCATTTATCTGAACAAGTAGATGTTGAATCACCTTATTTGGCTGCCTGAACCAATGATACAGACTGATTAGTGTGCTGTTGTTGTTTTACTATCCTGAGCTGATTTGAATAAGACGTTTCCTCTTAATCAACTGCTTGTATTTCCTTCGTCTAAAGGCCTCGGGATGAAGTCTTGACTGGTAGGTCTTTTTCATTTTCCTGGTGGCTAACTTCAGTCATGAGGAATATATAATCAAAATCTGTTGACTTACCTGCTTTTACAACATAACATAGAGTAGCAAAACTGTCTTTGGCTCAATCTACAAAGATCTTTTAGTTTGATCGGAATGGTCCATTGTCCTGTGGCTAGAACCCCAGCTTTGGAAGAGGGAGCAAAGTGATGAAAGGGCTATAAATAGAAAGGGAAAGAATGAAAACAAGTTTGTTTATTCTCAATTTAAAACGAGCTACAGATGCGAAGTACTCTACTGCTGCAAAACAATAATAAATAAACTTTTGTCCTAAGGATTTCAGACCCATTTTGAACAGATCCTTGGCTTACTTTACTGGTTATTGTGTGCAATCTGATAAGCGGATCATGGGTTTTCCAAGCTTGATCTCTTAACTGCTTTTTAATTTATGTAATCAGTACTAAATTTAAATGTACCGCTTTTGCAAGTTTGTGCATGTGCTTTTTGTTTATTGACTTTTTTTATATGTAGGAGTTAATCTGGGTTGGTTTTTTTGCTTCCTCAATAAGATTAATTGAAGGGGCCTAGATTTCCCTGGTTATGCTGGTTTTTCCTCACCATATTCTGTTCATATATATATATATATATATCTGTGCCTTGAAAATTATTTTTTCTATATTGAAGTAGTAACAAAATAGGAGTTGTTATTTTTCACAATTAGTCTGTCATCTTTAGAAGCAGATACCATGCTGACTGTTTTGTAGTTGTACCTAATTTTAATATACTACATACTCTATGGTAGCAATTCTGCTACTTAATATTTCACTTTCTGCAGGCTTTTAAGTTCATAATATTATCTGATTATTGGTAACTGGTGGTCATTTAAATCACCCATGGTTCACCCTGTCTTTAATACTTTTATGTTTTGCAAGTAATGAATATGTGAAAATGTTAAAGCACGAATTGCCATTATTATTCCTTTTCCATTAAATCTGATGATCAATGTACTTGGGAGTACTTGAGGAGTTTTAATTTTATTAAAGCTAACATTCTCACTTTGTTTTGCTTAGAGCTAATGAAACCTTTTTGACCAGACTGCTAAGTGTCAAATTAGACACAGGGGTAGAAAGTCCTAGGGAAACAACAAAAGATGGGATGGGTTATTACAGTCTCCAGAAAACTTGACATAAATTATTTATTTTGTGTTAAAATATACACAGGCAATGGTGGGATGCAGTTCTTCAGAGTATGATATGAGCTATTACCTCAGTCATTTATTGCCTGTATTCCAGCTGCTATAGCAGATGAAATAAGACAGTTGCAGAAACCTGCAGAACATGAGAACAGCTGGTCCCCAGAGTAAGACATCCTTAATGCTGAGTCAGTAACACAGAAAGTATTTCCTTTGGAAAATGTACTGTATAGTCGTGTAACTGATGACTGTGCCATACATAAAACAGGTCAAGAATAAAATCCACAGAGCACTTTTTAAAAAAAAAAGTTCTATATAGATGCATATCTTTAAGATTGTTGTCTCTGGAATTTTTTAAGAAAAGAATAATTTAGGGGGATGACAGTGACACCCTGGTAGTATTTGGATGTTGATATGGTTAACACCAGGCTTGGGAAATTTTTAGAGCTGCTGCATGAACTTCTGCCCTTGAGTTAATGAGAAACTTGTACTAGTAGGTTATCTGTTTCTGTAAGAACGAGCATTGTGGGGGAGGAAATACATACTTTGCTTTCAGGGATAGTGGTGGTGGAAGAGGAATGGTGAGGGACAGAAACCTTGGGTTTCACTGCAGGCTATGACAAGAAGCATGTGCTTCTTATCACTTGTACTTCTGCTTGTGTGGTGTTCCACCCTTAACTGATTCTTCCTTGCTATCCCTTTTAGCCAGTCTACCTCCTGCCCTTAAATCCTTACCAGTTTTCATTCTATTTTCCTTCCATTCTTTCTATAAAAGCAAGTCCCTGTAGCCCTTCAGAAAGGACTATGCACTGTTCCCATTTCATAGAGCACATTGTGTGAATGACACTTGCTTTGGCAGTGTTGAAAAGCACGGACAGAACATTAGGAGACGTGATAGCGCACAATGTTTGCATTTTGCCTTCTGTCATCTGATTGGTGCGTGAAGTTGTTTCATCAACTTGATCAGCTCTTAGACTGAAGTGTTTTTGAAATTTATAAAAAGTTACAGCTGAAAATTCAGTAGTATTGCAACAGCTACATGGAACCTTTCCGAAATTGTTCTAATTATGTATTGGTAGAAAAAATATTTTTTCAGCCGTATAACAGTAGCAGAATTAGAAGGAAGGTAGCTGCACTTATGTAAATGGTTATCCAAATACAGTAATACACTACATCACTTGCTACATGTGATGCAGTCAGCTTTCATTTGAAGTATTCCTTGTATGTTCAGCTTTATATAAAAAGCAGCTGTTTCAAAGAGGTGCTGTCTGTGGTGAGTGAAATTAAAACACGCTGCTTTTGGAGGCACAAAGTGCCTTGGCTTGATATTTAATTAGTGTGGAGCAAAGTATTCCATAGTTTTGAGAAGAGACTGGTTTCCCAGAAAGCCTTGTTTTGTAGACAATACTGTATTGTAAAAAAAAATTTCAGCAGCATCTCTCTGCACACGGTTGGCAAATATTTGAAGGCCACATTTTGTGTAATTGGTTCAGCCTTTGAAAATTATTAACTTCTTTGTGTTAAAGGATGTAGGCAGCAATGCAAGATTTTATCTTGACAATCTCATGCTTTTGTCTTCTACCAGCAAGGATGTATTTGTGGATTATTTTTATTTTTATTTTCTCCTCAAAGAGTAGTATAAGAAATGCTTTGTAATCACTTTGGTACTGATGAGGTATGGGAAAACATTTAATTTCCATGGCTTTTATGTATGCTGTATGAGATATATGATGTATGAGATGTATGCTGTATGTATCTTTCAGCTGAGGAAACTAGCTCCCTACTTGTGCTTTGTAAAACTGTCTACTAACCTAACTAAAAAGTATTGCTAATCAGTTAATAAGGAAAACATTGTGTTTAGATGTGAAATCCAAATGTAAAAGTAACTTTTCAGAACGCAAGCCAACAACACCTAGAAAACACCTCACCACAGTATAATTCAACTTTGCATTTTTCAGATGATGGTCAACAAGATTTAACAGCAACAAACTTAGAAATATTTATTCTGTAAGTTATATTAAATGATTAATGCTTTTATCTCCCTTCTCTGTTCTAGGCTTAAAAGAACCACAAGAAATTGGATTACAACTCTGACATTTTGGAGTGCAAGTGATGTTAAAACAGTTTGAATGTATTGGAGCCTGGCTGCTTCTTAAAATGCAAAAGGCAAAGGAAATTATTGCATATCTAAACCTACTGAATATCTGAGTTTTCTAGACATCCTACATTTAACTGTGTCCCTAAATGTCCATGATAAAGATCTCATGCAACCGTTGTACGTTTTGGAGACTATTCTCCAAAAGAGGACAGTGCATTTAAAAAGCAGAGATGACTGTGTTTTCTTGTGGAACTTACTAAGGTTGAACATACTGAAAGATCATGACCAGCTTGAAGCGGTCCCAGACTGAAAGGGCTGTTGCCACTGGGGTATCAGTCGGAACAGATGGCACCTCAAAAGTCCACTCAGATGACTTTTATATGAGGCGCTTTAGGTCACAGAATGGCAGCTTAGGATCTGCAGTCATGGCACCAGTTGGACCCCCTCGCAATGAAAGTTCCCATCACATTACCTCTACTCCTGGAGTCCCTAAAATGGGGGTCAGGGCAAGAATTGCTGATTGGCCCCCAAGGAAGGAGAACATCAAGGAAACAAGCAGGTCTAGTCAAGATATTGAAACATCAAGTTGCCTTGACAGCATGTCTTCTAAAAGCAGTCCTGGGAGTCAGGGAAGCTCTGTTAACCTGAATGCTAGTGATTCTGTCATGTTAAAGAGCATCCAGAGCACACTTAAAAGCAAGACCAGACAATCTGAGAATCTAGACTCCAGGTTTCTAACACCTGATGGATACCCCAGTTCCCCAAGGAAAGCTCTTCGCAGAATAAGACAACGCAGCAACAGTGACATCACCATAAGTGAGCTTGATGTGGATAGTTTTGATGAATGTATTTCACCCACTTTTAAATCAGGACCATCTCTGCACAGGGAGTATGGCAGCACATCTTCCATAGATAAGCAGGGAACTTCAGGGGAAAGTTTTTTTGACTTATTGAAGGGCTATAAAGATGAAAAGTCTGATCAGAGAAGCCCAGCCACAACTAAGCTTAGTGAACTTCTGATTGCCAGTGGAAGCAAGGGTTCAGGATTCTCTCTAGATGTGATAGATGGACCTATTACTCAAAGGGAAAACCTGAGACTCTTTAAGGAAAGGGAGAAGCCACTGAAGAGACGCTCAAAATCGGAGACTGGAGATTCATCCATTTTTCGTAAGCTGCGCAATGCCAAAGGTGATGGGGAGCTTGGGAAGTCTTCAGATCTTGAAGATAACAGGTCAGAAGATAGCGTCAAGCCTTGGACTTGTCCGAAGTGTTTTGCTCATTATGATGTACAGAGTATTTTATTTGATTTAAATGAAGCGGCAATCAACAGGCACAACGTTATTAAAAGAAGGAACACGACCACAGGTGCATCTGCCGCTGCTGTGGCATCACTGGTCTCTGGACCCTTGTCCCATTCTGCAAGTTTCAATTCTCCAATGGGCAGCACTGAAGACCTGAATTCAAAAGGAAGTCTCAATATGGACCAGGGGGATGATAAAAGCAATGAACTTGTGATGAGTTGCCCTTATTTTCGTAATGAGATAGGTGGGGAAGGGGAGAGGAAGATCAGTCTTTCCAAATCTAATTCAGGTTCCTTCAGTGGATGTGAAAGTGCCTCATTTGAGTCAACTCTGAGTTCTCATTGCACGAATGCCGGAGTAGCAGTTCTGGAAGTTCCCAAGGAGAATCTGATTTTACATCTAGACAGAGTGAAAAGATACATTGTTGAACATGTAGACCTTGGAGCATATTATTATAGAAAATTCTTCTATCAGAAAGGTAGGTACATTTTATTTCTTATTTCTTGTTGTGTTTTAGTAATGTTTTTTTGTTTTACCAACATAAATTCAGCTGATATATAATCATTTTTACAAGAATTATATATTTTTTTAAATCATCAGTGCTTAAACACGACATATTTTGTCAAACAGTGCATGATATGTCTCATAGTCTTTCATAGTGTTGAAGTAAAAAAAGTTTATTTTAGTATTGGTATACATAACAATTAACAATGGCTACAGATTAAACTGTCTTGAAACACTGCTTTGGTATCTGTGAGAATGGGCAAGAGTTGGCACTTGAATTATTAAAATAATAAAATAAAATCCTAATATAGGAGAACTTTCTTCTCTCCACATCAAGAACTGATGTACTGAGGATTTAATAGAATGTGCATCTTGGAAAGTTAGCATCTTTGGACATTTTAATCTTAATAATCCATTTCAAAACTTAAAAAATTTAAGCTAATAATAGATTAAAATCTGTATTACTATTTTCATTATAGCCATCATTCTAGAAAGACATTTCTGATTTGTCAGATTCTGTAGAAGTAAACTATCTCTTCATATAATATATATACACATATATGTTGCAATGAACAGTTCTCTTATCACATGGTTCTACTTAAACCAAGGATTATAATTTGCATTGGAGGTATGCTGGAAAAAGGATCAGACCTAAGCTTTTTTACTTAAAGAAACATGCAAAACCCAAACATGACTCAGGTGCCTCCCTCCCCAAAGTTATGCTGGCACTGATGTGCAGATCTTGTTGTCTCTTCTTTGTGATACTGGAAATAATCAAAAGGAACGTGGCCCAAAGTTTTCTTAAATTTAGGAGTTCTCTCTGCAGGATTGCATGCTTCACTATAGAATCTCCTGCTGGATAGAACTAGTCTAATGACTGACCTGAAGAGTGCTTGTTCCTTAGCTAATAGTGATCAGGACGGGGTTTCATCTCTTTACTGAAAGTAGCTTAGAAGAGCTTGTTTCCTGTGGATTAAAGCAACAGGGATGCCTGTTTGAAATAAGTGGATGGTCAGTTAAAAAAAAACAACACTTCAGCTTGTTAACTGTGTGTTATAGCTAATAATCTCATCTCCCATTTTTGCCTCTTCCCAGCACTGGCCTTTGGGTGGCTCTTGTCACGCGTTCCATAGTCTCCTCTTTCTGCAGCCTTTCTAGGGCAGCCTGTGCTACATTGTTTTTTGAGTGCTAATCGCATCCTTTGGAGAGAAAGAAGTGAGGGAACATACTGGTTTCCCAAGAACGGTAAACCAGATGTGCAATATGAGGTGTGTTTGGAGGGGGCAGCCTGTGAGATTAAAGACCTTTCCATGCGATAACGTTCCTGTCTGCCTCCCTCCGGAACAATTCAATTCCTTATCACTCCGGTGAGTTTTGCAATCAGCAACTAAAGGTGCGGTTTCATGTTACAGCTGACCTGATTTAACAGCATTTCAGCACTGAAAAGAGAAAACTTAATTCCTTCCCTTCCTTGTACTATTTTTTTTGTTTTCTCAAAGTGGCTCGATCAGCCAGTTCAGTTTACTAACCAAGCAGAAATGTTGTCATCACAATAAATTTACTTTTTATTGCTTGGTTATTTCTCTCCAGTGTCAGTGAGTCAAATCAGCTTTTCTTGCAGTCAGAGAAGTGCCAGAGCCTAGTGCCAGGTAAGCAATGAGAATTAACATCAGAAGGAAGGAGGTGTTTCAGCCCTTAGGCAACAGCAGTTTATTAGTTTAGCTTATCCTTAAGGGAAACCACACCCTCATGCTACTATCATGCCACTCACTGTTGTATCTCCACGTCTTTCTAGTCGGAATTAAGATGAATTAGATATAATTGACATAACCTAATCCTAAGGGTATTGGCGAGGGGTAACTAGATATAAAAGTGTCAGTACGCGTATGGAGTGCATTTGGAGAGAGAGAGAAGAAGCTGTAGTTTATTTCCTTAAGAACTAAAACTGGATTTTAAATTCACTGTGCTTGTGTTCAGTCCATCAAATGCAAGCCAGAGCTGCTCCTACCAGAGATTTTGGTCTGAGAAGAGGTATAAAAGAGGCATCATCGGATATGTTCAAACCCCACAGTTCAATGAGTGCCCAACACATTTTATTGGCCATCCAGTCTTTCCACAAGCAAACTTGAGGCTAATCTGAAAGAGATGGGATAGTGATTAAACCTAAAGCAGCGCAATAAAACAGTCAAATCAAAGAAGCAAGTTGTAATTGGAAGTTTAGATAACATGAAATAGGTAATGATATGGAATGTTCCTTGTTTGAAGAGGAGGTTGGGATGTAATGAATTGAATAGAAGGTGATGAAAGAGAGTTTTGGTGGAATCAGTTAGTCAAGTCAGCAGGCCTTCGGTTGTTTCGTAGTCTTCAGAGTACGAAGCAAAGAATTTTGATTCAGCAATGATAAATTTAAAAGATTTCAAACCAGGAGAAATTCACAGAATTGAAAAAGATCTTAAAAAGTATAAAAAGCAGCAACCCAGAGAACTGTAATCTTTTATTTTTTTTTCCATTCCAAGTTGAAATAAAGCAGGTAATTTGGGCCTATATCAACAAAGAACTGCCATTTAAAAATTAATTATGCTAGCCAGCATGGTTTAATGAAAAGTAGGTCTTGTAACAAAACAGCCCCTCCACATACTGTTCATCTTTTGTGTCTTAGAAAGAAAAAGAATGAAAGCCATTGCATTGATGTAATCCATTTTAGTTTCCTCAAGGAAATTTGGTGAGATACTGATGATGACTTGACTGAAATCTTTAATTATATTGAAGTAATAGCTCATTTTTTTTACAGCTATTGTTCCTTGGATGATAGATGTATCTCATATTTTAGCAGTGTAAGGGGGAAGGTATCACTGAGCTGGAGTATTACTAGCACGGTCCAAATTAATTAAAAATATTTATTGAGTGTCAATTATTTGCATGTGACATTTATGGATGAGTCTTGGGTAAGTTCATCAGTGAATGCAGAGGGATGTGAATTTGTGTGTAAAGAAAATAATAAGGTGAAATCAACATGTAACTTGACCTTTTTATCTGTTGGTTAATAATATTGTTTCTTGGTGTCCAGACTTCTAAATGTGAAAATACTGGTGGAGCTATTGGGAAAAATAACTTTATAATAGGGTTTTGAAGGCTGGATTCAGCTTCTCTGTATCTGAGCTGATTATGTGGACTCCCTTTGTGTACTTGGAGAGAAGTGAATCTTGAAGGATGATAGAGATTCCCTCGGTTCATTATGGAAGGCTCATAGACAGGTAACTCACATTTATAGTTACAGAAGAGGAATGTTACTCTTCTATTGCAAAAGATCTATTTGCAAGGGGACTATTTAAAGGTGTATTTAAAAAGATGTATTTGATAGCGGGACTTATAATTAGGAGTTTTAACCATTTATAAACACAGAGGTATGTGGTAATGTAGTGCTAAAAAAGTAGGGGCTGGGAAGCCAGCACAAGAAGAAATTTGTGAAAACTGCACAAATTTGATCTTGAAATATGAGTAAGCTTAGAACACAAAAGCATAACTCTATACGGAAAAAACTTACTGAAGGAAGTTGATAGTTATTTGTATTTCACATGGGAATCATTCTCCCATCTCATAACTTCAGTGCCTGGAAAGACGTTTTCTGACCTGTTTGAGTTAAGATAACACTGTCACTCTGGCATCTCTGTTTCTTAATCTTAATCCCTTCTTTTAAGATGCCTTCATGCTGCAGAGTTTTGCATTTTAAAGAGTTGTTCTTGGTAGCTGGACAGAGTAAGACTTAACGATATCATTGTGCTTTCTCACTTGTGCAGTAATGTATCTGTGCTTTCAGCTCTTGCTGCTTGGTTGTGTCCAAGGGCAATTTTGTAATCTGGAGGCTCTGGAGTGAAATCAGAATACTGGCTGAAAAACACAAATGAGAGCATTAATGACAAGAAAAATGTTTCAGACTGTGCAGGTACTAGGCAAATTTTTTAAAAATCTGTGATTATTGAAATAAAATATTTTCTCTCTCAATATGGTGCTTTAAAAATTAAGAAGGAAACCAGGGTGGACTTGTTTGGGTTTTTTCTGTTCTACACAGTGGCATCAAAGTAAGGGTGGAGAGGGAGAAGGGAAGATTTCATAAAGCTGCTTGTAAATTGTTTTGAGGCTACTTTTCTGGACTATTTTTTTCTTTGTAGAGCATTCTAACTTTTTAGTTTAGCTGGTGGTTGTGATGAGTATGAGACCTTGTAACTATAATCTTCTAAGAAAATGTGTTAAGGCAGCTGATGAACTTCAGTTTTGATTAAAAGTATAGTTTTTTACAGAAAGGAAAAAAGCACATTGTTCTGGCCTTGTTGCTGAAATGTAAGAAAAAATATATTTTTGTGTGAGTGAGATTCTTAAATATGTAAATTTTTTCACTCCACCATTAAGTTTGTACTTTGGGCCACAATGCTTCGGTTTATTTAAACCAAACAAATAAAAAAGGCAAAACAAGTAGTTGTAGAGACTGATGAGGTCTCCACTCAGCCTCCTCTTTCTCAAACTAAACATTTCCAGCTCCTTCAAGCATTGTGCATGTATTCTACATTAAGTCTTAATAATGTTTAAACATTTAGGGTTAGTTAATATCAGTAGTGTTCAAGGACAGCTAAGCTTATTAGCCTATCTATAGCTTTATATTAAAGCTTCTTAATTACCAATAATAAAACCATAGGGATGGAAAAAATTATTTCCATCAGTTTGTGTAATTGCTGCTTAGAAAAGAGAGCATATTGCTCTGGAGGAACAGTCTTGTTTTCTCTCTCCCCCCAGTTGTGTCTGGGAACTACGGTTCTCATGGAAAGAACCAAGAGCATCCGTTTAGCTTTGATCATCATCAGGCAGTAATTGCTAACATAGTTACTGTTAAGGATGAATTTGAGGTAACTGGCTTAGAATGAAAGGTTTGACTGAGAAGTAAATAGTTTCCTGAGCTGGTTTTCTAACAGGTGAACTGTTGGTCAACTTTCCTTTAACTATTGGCAGCCAGTAAAACCCCCTTTGTTCTACTGCTTTAAATTGCTGCATATTCTATCCCCAAAGCTGTACCTTTCACGCATGTGGCTAGACTTACAGAAAACTTTCAGTTAACAATCTGGTCATGAGTTATAGTCCAAAGACATTATAGCACTGAGCTCTAAAAACTTTGCCATCTTTTTTTTCTAGAGAACCGCTAGGCAGTTTTCCAGTGCTGTAAATCCTATGGTAGGATTAGAGGAAAATGCTTGATTCAGAGTTTCATTCTAAAGTGTTTGGGATTTTTACTTCCAGTGTGATTACATGAAATAATCAGTTGAACATGATATCCAAAGATAAATAGGATAAAAACCCAAAAGAACAGCCTCATTCAAAATCAAGTGCACATACTTGGATATCTGTTGCAAGAGAAACTTGTAAAGATCTGTGGAGAAAATGAGTATTTTCACTGAAGTTCTTTCAGTGAAAGCATCTCTTGAATTGTATGAGAAATATGTCACTATTTTTTAAAGTATGTATAATCTATTTTAATGACCTGGTATAAGCAATTAATTATTTCTTTTTGGCGTGGATTTACAAACTAATTTATGGTTTTTGCTAGTTGTCTCCTGAATGACTTTTAATTAACTAATTTTTCAAAGAAACGTACCCCAGGAAAAAGTAGTCAGATAAAGGGATATAAACTATAGCTTGCAGAATTAATGAAGAGGTGGAGTAGAGGAGAAGAAAGAAAATAATAAAGAAGGTAAAGGTTGAACCCTGTAGTAAACTTGAGTAGAAGAGAGAACAGAACTGGGTAGGTACGTAGAAGAGTAAGAAAGACAGCTGTCCAGTGTAGAGTGAAGGAAAAAGGATGAAATAAATTTCCTATTAGCAGGCAAGTGTAAAATTCAAATGTCTTTGTGCATTTTTCCAAATAAAGAGGAACTAGTTAAAAAGAACGATCAAATTATACAGAATTGTATGTGCATTTTCATGCAGCTTCAAATGTTCTGCTTGCCAGCCTTCCTAAATGTGTTTTCAAGATGGAGAATAATTTCTCCTGACAAAACCATCTACCTGAATTGTAGGCTACACTGGTTTCAAGATACACAAATTTTATCATCTGTGCTGTTGTTGGTACAGGAAGCTAATGTAATTTTTGGGCCCTTCTAGTATTTATTAGCAACATCTCTTTTTACTTAAAATTTTCTCTTGTATAAGCAAGGGTGTATCAATGTTTTTAAGTCATGAAGCAGCTTAGTGTGGGGATGGCCAAGCTGTCTTAGGTTTTGGAAGCTGCTTAATATGCTGACAGAAAATTGGTCTCAGGTTCTTGATTTATGCTTCTTCTGCATTGATCATCTCTGCCTTAAACTCATTGAGCTATAAACATCCTGAAGACAGCAGGTGGAAGAAGAAAAGAGAAGGGTGCTAATAGGATGGTTTGTTTTTTTTAAACAACAGGGGATCTCTGTGGCATTTACAAGGCTTAGATTAATGGAGTAGTGTAAAGATTTAATTAGGATTATGTGGATGGTCTGGAACAAGTTCCCCAGGGAAGTTCTCACAACTCCAAGCCTGCCTGAGCTCAAGAAACATTTGGATGATGCTCTCAGGCACATGGTGTGATTCTTGGGTTGCCTTACACAGGGACAGGAGTTGGACTCAATGATCCTAATGGATCCCTTCCAACTCAGTGTATTCTGTGATTCATTCATCATTTCCCCGCTCATGATTAATTCAGTCACCAAAAACTTTTGCCAATATTTACAAGATTCCAAAAGATATTAAAAGAATTTTGATTTCTAATTACCTCTGTGCAAAGTACTGACTTTCGATGACTTGCAGAGGAATTTGGTGGAAAGCAGGCTTTAGAATGCTGTGAGCGTGTTTCATTTTTTTGCATGCTCTGAAATGTTTAATGGAAAACACTGAGGGAAGAGTAGTAAAATACCAGATACTGGGGAAGAGAACACAGCCCCCAAGGGCTTAAAGGGGTGGACAGCTGTGTGAAGACAAAGGTATAATTCTGGGTTGCAAGTAAATATTCATAAGGGGAAAGCACCTACTTGAAAAGCATTTAGTGTGTTGGAGGAAAACACAGCAAGAACTAGTAAGTATAATTTAAAAAGAAATAGAATTAAAAATGAGGACCTCAAATTTATAACACTGCAAATGATTTTCATTGGAAAAAAAGACTGCCATTCACTCTGGATGAAGTGTATTTCAGTATCTATTTTTAGTATGTTTAAAGATGCGGTTCTTGATGATGATATTAAAATATTTTGCGTTTTATCTTTAGAGCAGAATAGTTCATATTTGACTGCTCTAAAGTTCTTGTTTTAAAGTTCTGCTTTTTTTAATAGTAGAAAGTGTCTAGGATTTCAGGCAGTATGATTGTGTTTCTTTTCAGGGCTGTTACATCTTTTTTCATTACACCAAATTTCGCATTTCTTATATGAATTGTTGAATTTTCAGAGAGCTCTAACTTTCTATTTCTATGCATCTATAAATTCATATATGCAGACATGCAGCATATGTAAAGTGATGACATAGGGCTTCTCTTGTAGAGTGCTTGACTTCTATTTATTGACAGTTTTTCTCTTAAATTTTCCTTTCAGGTATTGTATGTTTAAATTCAGTTGTTGTCATTTGAGACATGTGCAAATCTTGTTTCTGTGTTGCTGTATTCATGATGATGTACCTCTGTCATCAGTCAAGGTAGTTCATGATGCTCAAAAGGCTTGATAGAAAAGCCTTTAGCACTAATATCTCGAATTGTGGAGCTTAAATTTTTGCAAGTGCACTTCTATGATATTTTTTCATGTAAAGCTTGGCTTTACATATGTATAGCTAAATGAATATAAAAATGTATCTTGGAATGTTCTGCTGTTCAGCTAGTCAGGAATTTCTTCACCCCTGTATTCTCTTCTCTGCCACCTTCCCAGCTATAGGCTAATTTTAGACTTGACTCTCAGCACTTTAAATGTTGCTCTTATGGTTGTTTGACACGTCATTGTTAAATATTCAGGCAAGTCACTGTATCTTGTGCTTCATTTTATTTTTCTGTGGCTCTATGCTTTTGAGTTGTTTGCTATTAACAGTTTCTTCAGTTGTTTTTTTCCCCCTTTTTTAATTAACTTGTTGGACTTTTTTTTCCTTTTTCCGTACAAAAATACCTAAGTTACATCCTTTGCTAAGTGCAGCTGTTTGCTGCTGATGTTTTAATATAGAGTGGCCAGTTTCACATCTCAGTGCATTTGTCTTCCTTGTTTATATTTTTAAGGAGGGGGAACTAGCTGTACTTATTTAGCTCAGTGTGAATGAAACAGATTTTGCTGTAAGAGCCAATGCAAGTTTTAGGCCTGTTGAAGCAGAGATGCAATGTTGAATTTCAGCCTTCCTGTATAATCTCATTAGAGCTCATTAGAGAATTGAGGCATAAGGATAAAATCCAGGTACCACTTTAACATGCTGTTATTTATTTCCCCTAATTAAGCATGAAAATGCAGTTGAAGTTTAAGAAAACAGACTTTATTTGCATCTTTTGTGATTTGTTTTTTTTATGCAAGAACACTGGAACTATTTTGGGGCAGATGAGAACCTGGGTCCAGTAGCTGTGAGTATAAGAAGAGAGAAGCCGGAAGAAATCAAAGAAAATGGACCTCAGTACAACTACCGGATCATATTCAGAACCAGTGAGGTAAGCAGCTCAGGAATTACAGTAAAAAAAGCTAGAAGTGAGCAGGCAAAATGAGGTCCTGTGTAGGGGGTCTGTGTGCTTTTCAGAATCACTAATAGATTTCTGCCTTCTCTATGTACATATAATCCAGGAATCTCCTGACAAAGTTATGCCGCATGTTTATATTACACAGAATACAAGTGAGTGCATTAGTGAGTGAGTTTTTCCATAACATCCAATAAAGAGGAATCTGTCAAGGTTGTTTGAATTAAAGCTTGAGAAACTCACAGGAGCTATATTAGCAAATATAAAGAGGAGGAAAATAACTTCTTCCACTTTTACACGTGACAGTGGGTAGACCTAAGAAAATCTTTTATACTTCAAAATGCTCTGCTAGAAATACTACTACTACTGTTTCCAAGTATTAGTTTTCTCTAAAATTTAAATCTCTGGAATAATTTGAAATATTTTGACTAGTGATAGCTGTCAGTGACGTTTCGGATATCAGTATCTGTTTCACACAACGTAAGTTACTTAATGTCTTCAATCTCTATTGAAAAATAGTACATTTTGTTCCACTGCTATTGCTAAACAACTTTTTCGCAACGCATAATTCAATATAGAAGCTGTTTTTGTTTTGTATGTTTAGCTTATGACATTAAGAGGCTCAGTGCTGGAAGATGCTATCCCTTCAACTGCAAAGCATTGCACAGCCAGGGGACTTCCCCTAAAAGAAGTGTTGGAGTATGTGGTTCCTGAGCTCAATATCCATTGCCTGAGGCTGGCCTTCAACACTCCCAAAGTCACAGAACAGCTTATGAAGCTGGATGAACAAGGGGTAAGTGCAGAGTTACAGAATGACACATTGTCTTAAACTGTCGGATTGCTGCCATGAGCTTCAAAATTACCTTTTAGCTTCAAATGATTGGAGTCAGTCTATATAAATGCCTCATTTTACTAAAGTTTGTCATCCTGTAGAGAGTTATGTCACATGTCTTTACGCCAAATTTTGCAGAATGTTTCATATGAAATCCAGTTCGTTCCTCTAAGTCTAAAGTTTTAGATTAATCTTATGGCAATTGTCCATTATAATTTACTTTAAAAGAAACTAAGGGGGTTGTTTTTCAAAGATTGTGGGGAGGAGAGAGTTCTTTTCTGGTTTTATTACTGCTGTTATAATAGAATAAAAATATCCTATGTTACTAAATACTTTATTGCAATACTGTATTGGCACAACCATGACAAGGGTGCCACTTTTCTCTCTTTC